TGAACCGCTGAACTGCTGATCTAGCAGTAGCCTGCAGTGCTGCATTTAACCACTGCGCCACCTTGGCTCTTACACATATGGATTGCCCAGTTGTATAAAATGGGAGCCACTGATTTACACTTTCCCAGTATAGGACAGGTGACTTCCGTTGTCTCCCCTCTGACATCAGGGCAAAAGCCTCTGCCACTAGGACGTGAAACAAACACAGATAGAGGTTGTGCATTCACTGTTCACATTGCACTAACTTAAAAGAGAAGCAACTTTTAAAAGACGGTGTCATCAAGAGAAAGTTTCTGTAGCAACATTGGGGCTGAACATTGCATGAGAAAAAGTGCCCACATTTAACAATTAACCAGTAGAATGTGTTAATAATGGCTTCAGAAGTTATGGTTCTCCATCACTGGAGTCTTTAAAGAAGAAACTCGAGAGTCATTCGTCTAAAATGGTATAGGGGAGCGATGGTGAACCTTTTTTGGCTCGTGTGCCATAAGGGGGGAGCTCAGGGGGGTCGTATGCGGATGTGCCACACCCATAATGCAACGTGCGCCACCCCACCCCCCAGTGTGCATGCATGCATGAGAGGCGCTCCCCCCATTTTTGCATGCTTTTTTCACCCTCTCCAGGCTCCAGATGCTTTATAGGAGCCTGGGGAGGGTGAAAACAGCCTCTCCCGCCACCCTGGAGGCCCTCCAGAGGCTACAGGGACCTTCAGGAGGCTTCCCTAAAGCTTCCAAAGGGCAAAAAGCAATCCTACAAGCAAACCGGAAGTAACTTCCGGTTTGTTTGAGGGTCGGTTTAAGCCCTCCGGAGGCTTCAGGGAACTTCAGGGGGCTTCCCTGAAGCCTCTGGAGGACTAAAAGGGACCCTACGAGCAATCCCAAAGTGACTTGCGCACTGGCCAGCTGACAAAGCAACGCCTCGCGTGCCCTGACAAATGGCTCCGCATGCCACCTGTGGCACGGGTGCCATAGGTTCGCCATCTCGGATATAGGGTGTCCTCAGTGGTAGGATTCAAGTAATTTAACAACTAGTTCTCTGCCCTAATGATTTCTTCTAACAGCCAGTTTGCCAAACTGCTCAGAAAGGTAACAACCGGTTCTCCCGAAGTGTTGCAAACTGCCTGAATCCCATCACTGGGAGCTGGACTTGAAGACCTCCAAGGTTCCTTCCAACTCTGTTATCCTATGTTCTTTTTGCAATATCCATCCATCCATCCATCAATCAATCAATCAATCAGTTTTGCATGTGCTCTGTATCAGAGATGGTATTCAGCAGGTTCTGACCAGTTCTGGGGAACCGGTAGTGGAAATTTTGAGTAGTTTGGAGANAAGAGGCAAATTTTTTTAAAAAAGTTTTTGTACTCTGCAAATCTCCCCAAAACGGCCCATTTTTTACCCCCCAAAAGGGCATGAATAGCCTTTGAGAGGCTTGTAGTGTGTTCGGGGAGGGAGGGGGATGAGCAAAAAAGGGACTTGTCAAAAAAAGGACATGCAGAGCCCTTAGGAGGCTTATAGAGTGCTCCTGGGGGCTGGGGAGCCAAAAATGAGCAAAACAAACGGTCCGTTTTTTGCCCTCCCCAGCCCCCAGGAGCACTCTAAAGGCTTTGCATAGCCATTTTGCAAAGGGGGGGCGGGTTTCGTGAGGCCAAAAATGCTGTATTCAGTGTATAAGACACATCCAGATTTTCACCCCCTTTTTGAGGGAAAAGGGTGCGTCTTATATGCCGAAAAATATGGTACATTTTGCACTTGTGTTATTTGAAGCCATCCAATCCTTAGCATATTGGAGTGAAGGATGCTACTTAATAGTTACTGAATTTTGAGCACGTAAAGGAGCTGACAGCACTGAAGAGCTTCTCTTTGATTTGGGTAGAGCACATTATAGAGCTTTACAATATGACAGGCATTGCCAGTTTTTGTGAAGGTCCTGATTATTACTTATAAAGCCCAACATGGCATAGGGCCAGGCTATTTGAGGCTCCATCTTTCTTTCACTGCTTCTGTTTGCCCCACCAGATCTAGTAGAGGGGACATGCCCTGGATCCCTTCTATCAAATAACAACATCTTGTTGGCCCTTCTAGTTATGCCCTCTTGACGGCCACATCTCCCCTATGAAGCAATACCCTCCATCTGTATCCCATTCTCTATTTCCTGTCTCTGTTACAGACAAGCATGTATGTTTCAGGATAGAATAATTCAAGTAATCATAAAAGCCATGATATCATAATTTACCGACTGTTCTGTTGACTTGTTGAGTTTCTTGTTCTTGGTTGGGGTAACTTCAACAGAACAATAGCTAGGTGGTTTTTCGTACTGCCAGTCTGAGGAACGATGCTGATATTGAGGCCTACTGTTTTTCCGGGAATAGTCCTGTTCTCCAGAGGAACTCCATGACTCCTCGGAGGATGGTGGAGAATAGCTGCGATGCCGTCGTTGATCCTGGTGAGCAAAGTTATTGTCACGTTGATATGTTCGTCGCTGTGAATGTTGATTTTTTTTCTCGGAATGTTGCTGTCCAGAATACCCTCTTCTTGTCTCAAGATGGGAATCAAAACTATTTCTGCTTCGCGAGGTGGGTACTACATCTGTTGCAGAATTCCGGTATCTACCATGATGGCTGCCATGTCTTTGTGATTCAGTTCTGTTTCTATGCCTATCCCATAGTTCCTGATCATAGCTGAAAGAAGAATCATCATCCAAAGATGAACGATGCCGCCATCTCCTCTCCTCCCTCTGGTTTACATTTGTGCTGCTCCGAGGTCTTAGAATATGTGTAGATCTCCCTGGTCGTGATGAATTGCTAGATCTCTGAGAGGACGGGATATGCTCAATGATAGGAGGCAACTGGATTACTCTGCGTTCCACAATCTCTGAGCCCAGAGAAGAGAGAATGCTAGGATGTTGACTGCTTCCAACATGATGTGAAGGTAGTATAGGCTGAGACAGATTAAGGTTCCTGATCTCAGATTCAAGGTGATCCAAGAACTTGTTGCTAGCGGGTGCTTGGGCAAATGGAGGCATTAATGGTTGGCTGCTTTGGAGAGATACATCTAAAGAACATAATATAAAATGTTTACATTAATTTCCAGCTACAGGGAGTACCTTTGGATAGAAAAGCAAGATATGAATATCTTAATGATCAAATAACCTTTCTGCTGTTTTGATAGAAGGCTTGCTTCTGAATACAGTACACTTAAAAGTTACATTTGCACAGAGTGCAAAGGATCTCTGCAACACAAGGCACTTTTGTAACACAAGCGGAAAAGGGTAGTTTCTCTCAATTGATTCAGCATTGTGCTTGTCTACGCCCAAGTCTCAAAGGGATCAAAGTTTCTAAAAGTTGTACATAACACTGCAGTATTGGGGTGCAAAAAGCCAATGGCAGGATATTTTCTGGTTACATTCAAGTGTAATAGTTACTATTCCATCCCAGATAGTAAACTGAACATTTAATATTATCTGATCTCCGTGGACAAATAGCTGCAAAAGATTAAAAAACATCCCTTAACCACCCATACATTTTCTATCACTGTACTGTTGTGCCTCTTGGGAAAGAAGCATTATAATGTCATAGAGGAAACGCTCTAAATTAAGTGAAAAACCAAATGCTTCAACAAAGCTTCGACAGCATCCCTTGGGGCTCCTACCTCTCTGCAAAAGTGGGTTTAATTGGTATGAAGATGACTGGGAGTGGTGTGTCATCCATGGAAGAAGTTGTTTAGCTTGTTTCACAAAGTGGTGCCGTTCTAGGACTAGAGAATAGAAAAATAAAATTGATATTATTAGTTTATGGATTTAAATACCCCTCACAGAACTGTCAAGTTGATTGAATAGTTTTGAATTTTGCAGTTACAATAATAAATCATTGTGCTTCAAGGGTAATGGTTATCAGGTTCCTTCTCACTTATTTTAAAGTACAGGTAGTCCTTTAGTTTTAGCGATTTGTTTAATAACCATTTGAAGTTAAAATGGCACTGAAAAAAAAGACTTATAAGCAGTTTTCACACTTAAAACCATTGTACCATCCCCATGGTCACATGATCAAAATTTAGGTATAGGAATGAGAGGAAAGGTTACGTAAAGACATGCGCATCAAACTGACATGATCTCAGTGGCTTTGTACCTTTTAACCTATGAGCTCACCTAGCAGAGACAGGCCGTACCAGGGAGTTATGTGAGATTCAACTCTGGCTGGGATTGACTTAGATATTGACAAGTAAAATGTACCAATAAGATGCTGTTGCTAGCCCTGCTTTTGCTTTGCTTGTT